TTGAATTCTATTATATTCAAATGAAATTATATTCACAAGACCAGAAAGGTTAAGATATCAAACAAATATCTTTTTTTAAAAAAAATGTCTTGGATTGGGCGAGAATAGGATGGAGGTTTTGAACAAAGCAAATTTTGAGCAAAGTGGATATTGGAGTTTTTATTAAGGAAAAAAAAAAAGGATGATTGTATACAGACACGCAGGAAAGAATGATAAGAGGTTCGGGATGTAATGAGGGGAATTTATCCTGCTGGATGTGTGGCCTGGTTCATTTTTCATTGTGTGGAGCCTGAAATGAGAGAGAGAGAAAAAAGAGAAACTTCTGAAAGAAATCCTAAATGGAATCCATGAAAAAGCCTCTTCCTCATCTGCCCTGCCCCCCCCCCCCCCCCCCCCCCCCCAAAAAAATAACACACACAACCTTGTTCTCATCTTGCTTTGAAGGCAGAAATAACCCTTTTTTTATACATTTTCACAGCATTAGAAGAGAATGGGAGGGCTGAGAAGACAGCAGAATATACAGGTAAAGATTCCCCTCGCACATGTGTGCTAGTCGTTTCCGGCTCTAGGGGGCAGTGCTCATCTCTGTTACAAAGCCAAAGAGCCAGCGCTGTCCGAAGACGTCTCCGTGGTCATGTGGCCGGCATGACTGAACGCCTTCGAAGGCGCACAGAACGCTCTTCCCTTCCTGCCACAGTGCTCCCTATTTTTCTACTTGCATTTTTTTTTAACGTGCTTTCGAACTGCTAGGTTGGCAGAAGCTGGGACAAGGAACGGGTGCTCACTCCATTACGTGGCGCTAGGGATTCGAACCACCGAACTGCTAACCTTTCTGATCAACAAGCTCAGTGTCTTAGCCATCCCTAATCCTTGTTTAATGACCGTTTACGTTATGACAGTGATGAAAAAGCAATTAGTCACCAATCCTTGTATTTACAACCTTCACAGAACTGTAAAGCAAAGAAAAGCAGAGTATAATCGTAAGGACAATTGCAGGTTCATTAATGACCACACCACAGGGCTTGACAGCCACGTTGCTGGTCTCAGTTACAGTCACTAAATGAGGACTACTTGTAAGGCTAAGGGCCTCAATCAATCTCTAAAAATAATAAAGGTGGGATTCTAACAAATAAATAAACCTATAAATGATTGAAGATGGGAAATTGGAAGCAATGGTAGCCGAACCCCATTTCTTGCCAATGCTGGAAAGTGGCACTGACTGAACCCACCTGAACAACAGCGCCAACCAAGGGTGGGCTGCTGGGGGCTCACAGGGGTTCGGGAGAGCCCCTAGCTAAGATTCTGTGCAGTTCCTTGGTTCCTTGAAATGCAGTTTGGAGAACCCCCAAATCCAACCCCTGGCTGGCCCCGCCCACCCTGCCCTGCCCCTCCCAGGAGTCCCCACGTGGCCCATTTTGGATGCAGGTAAGTGTCTCCCAGAAGCTCAGGCCTCCCGGAAGTTCGGGAAGGCCAGAAATGGGCCCATTTCCAGCTTTCATAGAGCCTCCAGAGCATGGGGAGGCCATTTTCACCCTCCCGGAAGCTCGAAGAAAGCCTCCGGAGCCCTGGGAGGGCAAAAACGTCTCCCTCCCCCCACCGTGGTGCGGGAGGCCGACTAGGCCACACCCACCCTGGCCATGCCCACCCAGCAACCAGGCCGAGAGGACCCTTTGCTAGATTTTTGGAAGCCCACCCCTGGCGCCAACTTCTGCTAAGAAGCAGTTGGGAAACAAGATGGAGAGCATGCATGAATTTGAAGCTCCAGTGTACGACTTACCAGAGAAGCAGTAAAGCACGGCCATCAACAGTGAAATGGCGACAAACGTTCCAAGAAGAATTGCAGCAAGCTGAACATTTTGCTCTCTCTTCTCTGTGCAGAGAAGAGCAACAAAGAAGATTAGGGGACCGGAGGCTTAAAACATATAAAGAACGGTTGCTGGAATTGGGTATGTCTAGTTTGATGAACAGAAGGACTAGGGGGGTCATGACAGCAGTGCTCCAGTATCTCAGGGGCTGCCCCAAAGAAGAGGGAGTCAAGCTGTTCTCCAAAGTACCTGAAGACAGGACAAAAAGCAATGGGTGGAAACTAATCAAGGAGAGAAGCAACCTGGGATTAAGGAGACATTTCCTGACAGTGAGAACAGTTAGAGTGACTTGTCTCCAGAAGTTGTGGGTGTTTCATCACTGAAGATTTTTAAGAAGAGATTGGACAATCATTTAATGATTTTGGATGAGCATGAAATCTAGTCCCACCTTAGGTGTCAAAGCCGGCTGGGTGTTCTGACCCACGCCCTTTTCCAACAAATCAAACATAATCCAAAGGGAATAGAAACCTTTTAAGGCTTCTGCAAAATAATTAGCTGTGATAAGCACAAGCCTTGACAAACCGTGCAAGACTGCCAAAAGATAACAGACAAGAAATAATTTGCAATACAAGAATCTTCAAATACAAACTCAGGATACTGGAATGTCCACGAGGCTGGAGTTTCAAAACGTCTTTGCCTTCTGCAAAGAACGTTCGTTACACAGCTGGCTTTTATCTTCTTGGAGTAGGGCCCATTACCTTACAGCCTTACTCCCAAGTAGCCCGTGCTGTTGTAGCTGCTCTTTCCTGTGAGCAATCCTGCACACACATGCACAGCTCCTCGAGAACCTCCTCATCGCTGCTGCCAGCCCCCACAATCTCTGAAGGCAGCAGTCCATTCCCTAATGGTCCTGGCCCCTCATCTGAGTCCTCGCTCTCCTCAGCCGTCCGCACCTGCTGCCGGCTAACAACAACACTGTGTGATCCTGGGCCAATCACTAGGATACAGTGAGTTCTAGTCCTGCTGTGATGACCCGGGATGTGGCACGAAGGTGACACAGCCACATAAGTAAGAAAAGTCCCTTTAATACCTCCAACTTTGCCCCCAATGTCCAGGTACCTTCGGCTGGAGAAAACACTCCCCCAAGAACAGTCTTTAAGTGGAGGAAATTCAGTTCGAAAACAAAGTACATATAAACTGTAAATAAAAATCCACACAAACCACGCTGCAGCAATTAACTGGACAGGGCAGGATAAGGAATTGCAGACTTCAAAGGCCAACAAAATACACACGGTTGGGAAGACACAAGGAACCCAGATAAGCCTCGGCCATAAAAGATAACTCACAATTTGCTTCCCACGAGTTGCTGTGTGCAAACTCCCTTTTTAAACACTGTGTTCCTAGCTGCAGCTAATGAAGGGAATCAGGGCCATTTCCTCCCCCAAAAGCCACACAACTCACGTTGCTCCCTTCTCTGTTCCTCCTTGCTTGCCCTAGGATGAAGAGGGGATGGGCCTGGATCTTCCTCTGAACTCCCTCTCCCTTGCTCTACGTCTTCCCTGCTCTGCCCAGCTGGACTTTGCCCTTCCCCAGTTTCTTCCACAGCCACCGGAGCCACACTTCCATTCCCTGTCAGCTGCTTGGCCTCCCCCTCGGAATCAGATTCCAACAGGGGCATGACACCTGCCTTAGGCATGACAGCACATGATAATTGCAATGAATTGTAACACTGATTTCAATGACGTTTCTTTTTGCACTTACTCTGAATGAGATTCTAGTAAATATTAGCAATAATAATGAATAATAAACGAATGAATGAAAAATGTAATAACAAATTAAAAGTTACTCTTTGTACATGGGCACCTGCATTTCCAAAGCACAAGAAAGTAAGACAAGAAGCAATGGATGAAAACTGATCAAGGAGAGAAGCAACCTGGAATTAAGGAGAAACTTTCCAACAGTGAGGACAATTAACCAGTGGAAAAAGCTTGCTATCAGAAGTTGTGAGTGCTTCATCACTGGAGGCTTTTTAGAAGAGACCAGAAGGCCACTTAGTTCACATTGTATAGGAGTTTGAGAAGAGGGGTGGACTAGAAGAACTCCAAGGTCCCTTCCAGCTCTATTCTGATGGAAGGGGTGAAATGGGGAAACTAAGTTTGCCCCTTGAGCCTGAGTAAGATGAGTGGAACTTGCATCATAACACATCATCTTGACTTCCTTGGGATGATAGGGTTCTTTCCATGAAGCCCCGGGTATTCCAAGATTCCCCCACCAAGTCCAACCTTCTCATTCCTTGCTAAGCCTAGAAGCAACCACTATAGTGCCACATGGATTACAGAGTAATTTCAGGATAGTGTTCTGACCAAGGCTTCCTGAGACAGTAACAGTCAGACGCTTAGTTCCAAAAAACCTCTTTTTATTTCAACGGCTGTGGATTATAGCCATTCATAGCCCGTAATGAGTCCCAAACAGTTTGTGAATAGTCCAACAGAAGTCTGCCACAGTCCTTCGGGATAAGGGTGATAAGCACCCACCTTTATCTCCCTTGAAATGCTGCCAACGACTAAATTGCCCATTAACTGTACAAGGCCAAATGGAGCACAAAGTCAACACAGAGCTTCAGATTTTAAACTGACCAGAACGAACAAAGTTGCTTCCTGCAAAGGCTCATGTCCCTTTGCTCCTCCTTTATGTCTTATGGGAGGGGCCAATCATCTCCAAGCCTTAGTCCCGAGTCGCTCCTTTTGTCTTAACTGTTCTTGCCTTCTGGCAACTCTGCGCAAGCGCGCACTGGGAACAGGCTCCCCCTGTTTCTCTGCCTCGCTGATGTCAGATTCTAGAGGCTCCAGAGTCAGCACATAACTCTCAGATGGCCCTGGCGCACATAACTCTCAGATGGCCCTGGCCCCTTCTCTGTATCAAATGCAGGTCCCTTGTCCGAGCCCTCCCCAGACTCCAGGACTGGCCCATGTTCCTCCCACTGTCCGACTCTGCTGCCAGCTCTGCCAGGCACCGGTGGACCACAACAGATAGGGTCTACTCACCTTTCTTGGCTAGAATAGACAGAGTCTTCAAACTGGAGAATCCGAAAGGATTTATTCCTCTGCAACTGATCATATTGGAATTTAAGGTATTTCCTCGAAGATATATGGAACTGGTGATGGTGTTGCCTTGGGTTGAGGATGTGATATTTACATCGCCAGAGATCTTTTCCTTGGTTAAATGTTGATGGTTCATGTACCACTGGATATCTGGTGGGGGCCAAGAATGGAAGGCACAAGAGCAAACAGTAGTGGTGCTATTGTCGTCATACTTACAAATATGGATGGCCATGATCTGAGGGCTATCTGGAAGAGGGCAAAACAAATACACAATTCTTCTGGGCAAAAGAAGTAAGGTCCATAATTATCAGCTGGGTTATCCATTGCCTCAAAAAAGAGGAAGTCACCTTGTATAGTAAGATCTGACTATGGCACAAGATATCACCTCTAGGCTAGTGTAATACTACAGCAAACCAAAAGAACTTTAACATTCCTGTTTTCTAGAATGTCCTGAACCTTATAAAACACCAAAAGAAACCTATTCTGAAAGATCTGACAACTTTTGGACATGTTCTCCCAATGGCATTCTCAGATCATTGCTGGTCAGAAATGGTGTAGGGTCTCCTGCTTGGGCAGGGGACTAGATGACCTACAAGGTCCCTTCCAACTCTGATTGTCTGTTATCTGGTCAGAATACCAAAAGCACCAGTAATCTCACGATGCTTTAGACTTTTTTAAAGTGTTGGCTTGCTTGGGTGCTGCCCTGACTATTGGCTTTTGGTAATCTGGAACACATAAATCAGGACTCCCCAAACTTGGCAATTCTAAGACTTGTGGACTTCAATTCCCAGAATTCCTCAGCCAGCTATGCTGGCTGAGGAATTCTGGGAATTGAAGTCCACAAGTCTTAGAGTTGCCAAGTTTGGAGACTTCTGACATAGATGCTATTTGGCCAACCTATATTATTCTAGAGGTGTTTCTCAACCTTGTCCACTTTAGAATGTGTGGACTTCAACTCCCAGAATTCCCCAGCCAGCCCTGTTCGACTTGACTTACGATGACAGTGACCTATGATGGAAATTCCAAGCCCAATTGTGGTCGTTCGTGCTTGGAGGAGTAGGAGGGGCTGGGAATGCAGGTAGTCCTTGACTTACAACCACAATGGAGCCCCACATTTATGTGAGACATGCAGCAAGCAAGTTTTGTCCCCTTTTCGATGAACTTTTCTTGCCACCGCTGTTACACGAATCGTTGCCGCTGTTACGTTAGTGGACTTTGCTTGTCAGGTCACAAAAGGGGATCAAATGACCCCGGGACACTGCAGACATCATAAATATGAATCAATGGCCAAGCATCTGGATTTTGACCACTTGACCCTGGGGATTGTTGCAACGTTCAGTGGTAAGTGTGAAAAATGGTCATAAGTAGGGGTGGGCTGCTGAGGGTTCGTAGGGGTTCGGGAGATCCTCTAGCTAAGATTCTGCGCAGTTCGGACAACCCCCAAATCCCACTCCTGGCTGGCCCCGCCCATCCTTCCTCTCCCCTCCCAGGAGTCCCATTTTGAAGGCAGGTAAGTGCAGGGTGCGCACGGAGCCCAGGGAGGGTGAAAAACAGGCCTTAGAAATTAGAGAACTACTCACAGGCCATATGAAGTTGGACGGCATTTTGTGTGTCTTTCCTTGTGTCAGGGTATTTTAAATTACAAGTGAGGGTTAGGCCTTCGTTAGCTAAAATGGGTACGAAGCTGACGTTGGCTCCATAGGTCCAGGTCCCATCGCTGATCTGCTTGCCCCATTTAGAGATATTCCAATCGCTGGATTTGGAGGACCAGATGATTTGAGGCTTGGGTTTCAAGCAGCAATTTGATGCCACACAGCTAAAGTTGATGGTTTCCCCCCAGATGATGGAAGATGGTTTCCAAATCACCGGCTTCTTCATATCTAAGCAAGAAAAATGTTGATGGGAGGCCTTTTGGTTTTTTGGGAGGCCTCCAGCTTGTCAGAGTATATTCATTAACTGGCAGAGACAGGGTTAACAAAGTCAGCAAGTGAGTAAGCATGGCAACAGACCAGCCAATAGGAGCTGACAGCCTGGGTGTGGCTTGGCTCTGTGTGTTTTGCTGAGAAATGAAACTGAAACTAACTTGCTTGCTTGCTAAAACTGATATCTGCTCTGAGCTGCTGCTGCTGCTGCTTGTGTTTTTGCTTTTTGTTACCTTGAAAGAATCTACAAATGGTACTGTAAACTTTACTCATATTATTATGTTTATAAAGAAGTTAATGATCCTGCTGAATCAGTCATATGTGTGTTTTCTGGACTGGAATTTCTGCTGCAAACTCTAACACAGCTGCCTTTATCAGCCCAGCCCATTCTGTAATTGGGTATGTCTAGTTTAATGAACAGAAGGACTAGCCGAGGGCAGCAGCTCGCATGCCCAAAGAGAGGGCTCTGCATGCCACCTCTGGCACGTGTGCCACAGGTTAGCTATCACGGGTATAGGATCTCCCACTTGAGCAGGCTAGGACTGGAAAGACCTCCAAGGGCTTTTCCTCTTCTGTTATTCTGTCTATTGTAGCTTCATCTGCAAAACCCTTATCATATCTGGGCAACAAGGATCCAGGTTTGTCCATGGGTCTCCAACATTTCCCCCTCTTGTTCTAAAGTAAAGGCATCAAACATGAAAAAAAGGGGGGGGGGAGTTCAAGAACTTGCCTACCTGTCACCACAATTTGGGGATTAAGAGATGGTAGAAATGTATGCCTATATGCTTCTCCTTTATCAATTCTCATGTAGTACCGTCCCGTGTTTTCAAGCTGGGCATTGTCAATGCTGAAGGAGCAGTTGCCATTGTTGATATCCCCGATCAGCTTAAAATTGGTAGGATCCGGTCTCTGCCTTGAGTCGTTGCTGATCATCAGAACTCCTAGTACCCAGATGTTGATCCATTTCAAGTAGTAACGTTTGTGTACATTCTTAAACCAATAGATGTAAAGGGGTTCTGAGCTTTCTGAGTACCGTTCTGGAACGGTGAACCTGCAGGGCACATCGATACAATGGTTTATTTCCACAAAGGATTTCTCCGGCACTGAAATCGAATGGTCGAGACCGTTGGTCAGAGTACCTGGTGGGAGGAGAGAAAAATGTAACCAGCAAGGCCCTGCTAGACACATTTACTTTTTTTCCCCCTCCCACAAGGCTTTTATTCAGAGGTGGTCTGTTCAAGTTACTCCTTTGAAAAACATCATCCAATCAATTCAGTGCCAACAACAATTAAGGAGAAACTTCCTAACAGGGAGGACAATTAACCAGTGGAACAGCTTGCCTCCAGAAATCATGGGCGCTCCATCACTGGAGGTTTGTAAGAAGAGACGGGTGTCAGGCTTTCCAAGTAATAGGCCCATACTAAGCAAACCTCCGAGGCAGATGAATTCCTCAAAGAATAGTCTTCAAGGAAAAACAGAGTCCAGCTGCCTTTTGAAAAAATGCCTTTGGGACAACCATGACTTGGATGACTTAAGAATCTCCGTAAACATTTAGGATTTTAATGTTTTCATGCTGTAAGCCATCCAGAGGCATTTTGTTACAGTAAGTAAGTAAGTAAGTAAGTAAGTAAGTAAGTAAGTAAGTAAGT